TGTATCCAGACTTTGTCTCTAGAATAAATGATAAGAAAAAGGAGGGAAAAAGTAATCTAATAACTTTAGAAATCTCAATGAATAATAATTTACTAGTGTAAATAAATCCCTGTTGAGCACAAAATCCATTTTGGCTGTTGTTTGGTTAGTCTCTCCCCCACCTCCATCATTGTTGTCGCAGTGTTAGAAAGCTAAGGAAGGATTTGTTCCCCAGAGAAAGGTTTATCCTGAACTTAACAACAATGGAAGAGTGCCATCTCCTTGTACATCTCCTCCCACATCTCCCCTGGGTCAGGAGGGTGGCTAGCCAGGCCCCTAATGGATAGTATAAAGGAAGGAACAGTGTGGAGATTTTTAAAGAGGTCAAACCCCGTATTGGCCGAAAATATATTCTCCCCCATTCTTATAAAATCAACCAGAAAATGCCTCTTTATAAACAGTGATTAGCTCACTTCAGTGTAATGGACATGACTGAAGCAAAGCATTTCCTGGGCATGAGCCTTGTGTCCTTCTCCACAACCAGCTCACTCTGACTGGAGAACTTGGGACTTCCAGCAAGCAGAACTAAGGAATGTGAATTCATTTCACCTTGGCAAGTATATGACTAAGTAGCACATGGAAAAGGCCTTATATTTGTGTGTTTTAATTTGTGTGTTTGAGGGTCAAAACAAATTTTTCTCTCATGTAGGTGGAATATACAAGAAATTACTAAATAAGTTTTCACTAGAATTTGAGCATTAGAAGAGGTCTGGGATCTCAATGGGACTGTGGGCTTCACAGCAGTTCAGCTTTTCCTTCTGTTTTCTGCTCATGCAGATCTTGGCTCTCAGGAAATCAACCTAAGCTAGAGGCACATATGAACTCAAGCCTCTGCCTTCAGGCTTCATCTTTTCTAAGAGTAAATTTTATGTAAAACCTTCCTTTATTAACAGTGTGTGTGTGGGGGGGGATCTCCTATTTATCTACATACTTAAGAGAAAAATTATACTTGAAAGACTCCATCATACGAATGAGGTGATTTGAGAACGCATAAATAAATGAGGTGTCACAGGAAAGGAAGTATGAATTGAAAGCCTGCCTAGAATACATGAGACCATATCCCAAATAATAATAATAATAATAATAATGAAAACAAAGCAAGGTACTGAGAAAAATGGCTCAGCAAATGAGTTCCTTATTACACAAATTTGAGGACCTGAGTTCAAAACCACAGAAACCTTGTTAAGTTAAGCATTTTGGCGCTCTTTGGAATCCCAGTGCTTCTAGCAACATTAGAGACAGACAGAAGAAACACTTTGGTCTTGAGGGCCAGCTTTCCTGCCATATGCAACAAGAACAACAAAATAGAAATTCTGTCTCAAGCAAGGTAAAAGACAACATGGGCAGATGGTGACCTTTGACTTTCATATAGATGCTGGAGCATGCATTTGTGCAAACTAGCACACACCAGCATGTATATAAACACACACACACACACACACAAGTATGTTGAGATATTATTTTATATCTTACTTTTATGAATACCTAACAAATGAAAGGAATTAATGTTCAAGAAAGAGTAAGAAAAATGCAATATCCATTGCCAATATTTTAATGAATATGAATAAAATTAGAAAAATACCTTCTCATATTGATGAACTACATATCAAATGTTAGTTTCTTGTGGAAATTTCTTTGGAATCCACACTTTTTAGATCCTAGCCTTGCTATAGTACTACTTCAAAGGAATTTAAGATTCTGTCTCACCTCTACACAAAGCATCCTAGAGCTCTGTCACAGCTGTTGAACTTCAGTGCTCCAGGGGACAAGGCATTGACAAATGTTTTGCACAAAAGGTAACAGCCATCCTTAGGATGGGCTTCTTTTCCCTCTGGGATAGAAGCTAACTGCTGGGATTGTCACAAAACCACTTGTGCTGCTGACCCCTAGGAAAGTGAGCACTGTACAAGCTCCAAGTGAGTCTCCTGAGCTCCTGAGTCCTTCCCTCACTGAGGCTGCCTGATTCACACTCCTCTGTTCCTTCCCAGAGTCAGGATCAGCAGGGTGCACTTGTGATTCTCCACAGTCCAGAAAAGTGATTTGTACCTTTACTGTGTAAATGAGGAACCTGAAGCTCAGAGGACAAGAAGCATTCTCAGAACAATGTAACTAGTTACAGAAGAGGGCTGGGAGTGCATGAGGCAGACCGTCAGCCTCAGATGGTACATGAGCAAACAGTGCTGTTTAGATTCTCCAACATGAGAGTTATAGGACAAGTCTCTTGACATGGTGTCTGAAAGCTTACCATAGATGCTATAATATCTGGATTTGTTTGAGGGAAGGGCAGGAATAATGGAGAAATGAGATTTAAATAATTTTCACGAATACCAGTGAACAGAGACTCTCACTGATTCTAGGAAGAAATTACAATGGATTCAAACAACAGGAGCAACAACTGTGTCTCCCTGATAGCAGATACCTGATAAAAAGACCAGAGAACAGCCAATGCATAAAATACCACACATCAAAGGAGAAATTCTGTGACAGTACAAACTGATAGAGTACTGTAACCTTGAAGTCACTTTGGTAAAAACTGTTGCAATAGATAAACCCCTCTGAAAGATTTGACAGACACTTAAACTTCTGTCAATACATTTTCATCCTAACAGGATCACTTTGTGGATGCACAGAACTCTCCAGAGTCATCACCTTATAGCTGATTGACACATCCAATCAGCATGCCCACCAACTTATAACCCTTTGTGCAAGTGACCCAGAGGCTGTACCATTTAACATGAGTGTGTCCAATGAGAGCATCTCATGGGAGTTCATTCTCTTAGGGTTTTCAGACCGGCCATGTCTGGAGCTGCCACTCTTTGTGGTGTTTCTAGTGTCCTATATTCTGACCATCTTTGGAAATATGATGATAATTCTTGTGTCCCGCCTGGATGCCAAACTCAATACACCCATGTACTTTTTCCTCACTAACCTGTCCCTGCTGGATCTGTGCTACACCACAAGCATAGTCCCACAAATGCTCGTCAACATCTGCAGCACCCGGAAGGTGATCAGCTATGGTGGCTGTGTGGCCCAGCTTTTCATTTCCCTGGCCTTGGGTTCCACAGAATGCTTTCTCCTAGGTGTCATGTCCATTGACAGGTTTGTAGCCATCTGTCGGCCTCTCCACTACTCAGTCATCATGCACCAAAGGCGCTGCCTCCACTTGGCAGCTACCTGCTGGATCAGTGGCTTCAGCAATTCAGTATTACAGTCCACATGGAC